AAACTTTGGTGGCAACTCCTTGTCATCAATTTTTTTTTAAAAAAAATAATTGCAACTCTTTTTATAATTACTTTTTTTCTCTACGCGGTCGCCATTCCGTCGTAACTTCAGTTGCGACAACCTAAAAGTTCTACTAGTCTATTACAACCAATTAATATTAGCTAAGGTTGCCTACAGGGTAAGTTATTTTTTTTTTTAACATATTACCTTTGTTTATTTTTTTCTTTTTTTTATTTAACTGTCTTTGTAACTTTTTGCCTTAGTATTATTGTTTTTTTAACAATGACTTTTTGGAGCCTGAGATATGAAAAGACTGTTTTGAATAGATATCATTTTTGGGATGGAATATCAATTGGATTTATTTTAGATCAAGGACTATGTGGAATCCTTGAGGACAAAGTGCAAGTTCTTGTTTTTTCATTTTAACATTGTCAAATGTTTAAGCAAAGTGATTTTCTGAACTAATCTTTAATTTATTTTTGTGAAGATATTTTTTTCTTTTGTTGAATTATTTTGGATAGTAACCATTTAAACCCCTTTATTTGATGTTGCTCCCTCTATACTAAATACATTCACATATTAATCTACAATATGCATATCACTACATGTTATCTTTATAAATTTCACTTTTATGCTCTCAACCTGATGGTCATTTTGAAACTCAAGCCAAGATTTGCTTCACTATATTAAATCATCATTCTGAGCATTTGCAACCATCATGGACAGGTAAATGACATTCCCTTCCAATATTCATTCTCTTCATGTGCTCAACTTTATTACAAGTTAAATTCATTAACTGACTAAGGATTTTTATCATTATTTGCAATGTTCCTTCATAGATTTACAAACATGAAGGAGATGAGAGCTAATTAAGGAGTTGGAGAAAATTTTGTCTGTTGCTAGTCAATGTTGTTGCCAATCAATACTTTTACATATCTTTATGTTGATTTGTACTTTGGTTGATTTATTTTCCTGCACAGTTTGAAAAGAGGTGTCATGTGGACTTGTTATTTTAGCTTGTACATTTGAGAACTAATTTTAGGACCCAATTGATATTTCTCATTTCCCTTCCTGAAATGCATGTGAATGAGTAGATTTGAATTGGTTATTTTTATTTTATTTAAAATTTGTTGTGTAAGTCTAGATTTGGATTTATTATGATTTTAGTTATATTTTTTTAACTGAACTATGACTTGACTTTAATATAAAAATTTATTCTAATTATTATTTGTTATACATTATTTTTTCAAAAATTCTAATTCTGTACTGTACTTTGTTGGAGAAAAAATTTGAAATTGAACTTAAAAAACAGACAAATAAGGTTTTTTATCATTTTTGGTGGAAAAACTATTTTAGACCCAAATTGACCCAACTTGATTCTTTGACCTGCTCAATCCGCAACCCATTTAACCAAAATTTCTAAGCAGATGGTTACAGGCCCAACAATGCAAGGGTCAGTTTTGACTGTTCTTGAGTCAACTACACTTAAACCTACCTGAGCCGACCCATTGGATAGCCTTAATGTTGATAACCTTAGAGTATTAGTTAAGAAAATTAAAAAAATAAATTTTTATTAAAGAGCAAAATTTGTTAACACTCAACATTAAATTTTAATACTTACAATATTTAATAATTTTTTATAAAATTTAAGATTAATCAATTCAATTGTAGATTTAAATGTTTTTACCAAGTAGATTAACCTTATAAAATTTCATACAAAATAATAATAATAATAATAATAATAATAAATACTTCATCATATTACTTTATTTTAACATGTAATATATTTAAAAATATAAATAAACATCAAATTTTGGATATTAATAAATGTTTAAATTATAGGAAATTTGATACATTTGATGACTAAGATAATATAAGAAGATTTAACAATAGAATTAGTTGGCCTTATGTTAAATGACAAGTTATTAAGTGTTGTATGTGTAAAAATTTGATATCTTGTATCAATGAATTCTAACACTTTATTAAAAATTATATTAAAATACATAAAAATAAATATTTTTTACATTTTTCAAAAAAAAAAAAATTTTATTCATTAACTAGTATCCTAAAATGTTGTTTAGCATTTTTTTTTTTTAATAGAAGTTTGCTACTATAACTTATAGTTTTCAACCAATCTAATAAAGCCCAAAACCCAAAGCTGTCTTTCTTGGATTGCTAATGGTCCAATAAACAATTAGTAATACTAAATTCAAAGCCTATTTATGTTTCACACTTACACACCTAATGCTTGGTGTGAAATCATAGTCAAGTAATCATCCTTCTCACTAAAGGATTTAGAACCTTTGATGGTTAAGTCATACTATATTGTGTCTCATAAAACTACTATAATACTTTAGTTGTGCATTATTAGCATCTTAGTCTAATATAATTAATTAATGTCACTACACCAAAGAATCATATTCAATAAATCATTCTTCTCATCAAAGGGTCCAAAACTTTTTATGGGTAAGTCATATATTGTGTCTCATGAAACTACTATAACACCTTAAACTTTGTTTAGATTTCATGTTAAGGAGAAGAGAAAAGGAGAAGGAAGGGTTAGTGATCACTAACTCATGTTTGAAAGTTAATTAAATATGAAGGAAAAGTTAGAGAATTTTTCTAGATCTCTAAAAGCCTCTAAACCTTGTTTGTTTGTTTGTTTTTTTTTTTAGTTTTCTTTTTTTTTTGAAGTTTTAGTGACTTATATAATAAGATTTATTATTTATATTTTTATTTGTTAGATTAAATATTTAGCATGGTCTAGAGTTAATTATTAGAGAGAGAAAAATATTAAATTTTTGTATTTTTTTAAAAAATATATAAAGGAGTAATGTTGTCTATTTATATGTTAAACCCTTTATTATTCTTCTCTCTCAATATTAAGGATCAAATCAAGAAAAAATTTAACATTCCTTCCCACTCTTTCCTCTTTCAAACTCTTTAATTCCTTCCACTCATAACTCTCGAACAAAGTTTCATTATACATTATTAGTATTTGAGTTTAATATAATCGACCATTATCACTATACTAAGTAAATTATCCATTCCAAATTATTATTTGATCAGTATAAATATTGACTTAAGCTTTGAAGTATTTTTATGGGTACACACCACTTTGTTGTTTTCAACCATGAACATATTGACAATAACATATAACTTTATATAAAAACATAATTTTATAGATTTAACTATTAAATTTAAATTATATACTATTTTGATTATTTATATTAAATTTTATTTTAATTCTATAAGAATATATAGTCAAATGATCCTTGTTTTTACATAATTTAAAATTATATATTATATTAATTTTAACATAAATAAAATATCAAATAAATTTAAAGTCATTTAAAATATTGCAAACATTACTTCTACAATAGAAATTTTTTTTATTTTTGAGAAAAAAAATTTTAATAAAAATTATTTGATAATGTAATATTAGTATATTTTGGACAAGTGTAATTTCATATTAAATATATTTATAAGATTCTTCATTCTCAACAATATATTTTAAATTTTCTTGAAAAATATATTATGTACAATTTTTCATCCAAACACACACTGACCTTTTTTTAAAATGTAAATAAAAAATTAATATAAGTCTTAAATAAAAAATCAACTAATAACAAGTACAGAAATAAAAGCATTTATTTGCGTAATGTTTAAAATTCAAACTATGAAAAGGATATTTTAATAACTTATTGATTACCTCTAGTAAATGAGGTGCAAATGCCATGGACACATGGCCCTGTTTGAGCAAGTGTAATTTTGAAATCCATAAAAGCTTCTCACGAGAAAGTGCTTCGGCCTTCGAGATCATAACTAGTCCTTATCATTGGGCCCCTGGCCCCACTATCTTTGGGCCCATACAAAAATCCTCCACCCCATCGTGACCGTTCGTGCAATCCAGAGCGTCCTAAGGCACTGGCACCCGCTGATCGAACGGTCCAGATTCAGCAACGACGCGCTCTCTTTCTTCTCTTCTATCTTTTCCACTATATTTCATTCGTGCTTATGCTTCTCCTCTCATATTTAATGCACACTCACACTACCATTACTGCATTCTTCGATTCATTCATTCTTCGTCTTCTTCTTCTCTTTGTCTTTTTTCCCGCAAAATTGCTGACAAAGTTTAACGTCTTCGCAATGCCACTGAAGCTTTGAACAAACAAACAACAATGTGCGAGACTGCAAGATCCACCATTTCAAGTCGCTCAGGTATTTTCTTCTTCCACTTCACTTTTCCTATTCGTTCACCCTGGGACCGTGCTATCTGCTATGCTATGCTTTCTTTCATCAACCAAATTCATCGCAACTGATTTTATTATACGCTGCGTTTCGGTTTCGCAAGTTTGAGCTGGTAAAAAATTGCTTTTTTATTTGTGAAAAAATCTAACTAATTTTTTTATGTGAACTTCGTAGTTTCCGTTTGATAAGTTTGCAAAAATGGGGAAAAAAAAAACTTTATGAAAAGTTGTTATATCAAAAACTGAGGGAACGAAAAGGTCGAATCGGCTACACATGCTGCATCAGACCTTTCCTTTGCTTCTCAGTTCTCACAGATTTTGACGAATGACCACGCTTCGAAAAAGTTACGATGAATCGTAGCTTTTTATGGAACAGTGTATTAATGTATTTGTTTATTTTGCTTTTATTTTTAAAAAACTTCCCATCTGATTATTAAATGATTAATTAATCGCCGTTCAGCATAACACGTGACATGTAGCCTCATTTCGCTTTTTTAGAAGGAAAATGTTAACTTCAAATGTTGAAATTAAGTAATTAGAAAGTTTTATTAAAAAGAAATGTGTTTATTATATCAAAATTTTTCTTTTTTCTTTTTACCAAATATTGTTTTTCAATAAAAAAATATTATTAAAATCAGTTCTAAAATTTGTAATCAACAAAATAAAAAAATTTATATAGTAAATTAGGTTGAATATCTGGGTATTTTGGTATTTTGTGCATAAGGCCCGTGGTTTTGATTTTGTTTGTGGATGCAAATTTGGGGAAATTGGTGGTGAAGGACGCTGCGATAGTTAGCGAGCCTGCGTTCAAACCAAGTGGAGGGGCAACATAGAGAAAAGAATGTCGCTGATGAGAAAAAGGCTAACTTGCTGCACAGTAAAGGAAGCCAAAATTAGCATTGATTTTGACGAGCAACATAGTAAGGCCTTTCTCCCAATTTTATTTTTTGCATCTGTAATCATCTGTTTCTTTTTTCGGTTTGAAAAACTTTACTCCATTAGTTATTTCGTTTGATAATTCCAAGTTGAAGATTGTGTATTCTTAAATGTTTGAGTACTGTAAACATAAAATGTAAAATCATGTCTATATAAGCATGAATTTAAAACATACTGGAAATTGATTCAATTCAACTTGTGAGTGACATCCTATTCAAAAAGAAGAACGATAGTAACTAGTTTACAAACTTTTATTTGTTTTCTCCATTGAAAATTTCTTGTTTGATCAAAATGTAACCTTAAAGAACCAAATTTAAAAAAACAAAAAAAGCTGAAGTGTGGTCAAATTATAGAAGAGGGGTTTAGAAAGCAATAAGAATAGCTTGCTAACTGCTACTACATGTATAAAGAGAAAAGGCTAATCCCAGTTTCAGTCTGACAGAAACATGTTGTTGGACCCATCTAAGGAAAGTGTGTATCATTTCGCGTAGGGACCCCTCCCAGAGTGATTTGACCTTATTCGTGCTAGTCACACCCTTTATTATACGTTTTCAACGCAATCTCTTCCCTTTATTCTTTATATTTTCTTATTTAATATTTTGATTTATTTTAAAAGTTTTGTTATTCTCATTTTTTAAAATGTGTTATCTGTATTCTTATTTATTTATATGAAATTAGAGAAGAATAAATAAGATTTTTTAATCAAAGTATGATATTATATTACATGAATTAAAAATTCCTTAAATTATGTTAAAAGCATTAAATAACAAAATCTCATGTCACATTTTACTTTAATGGTTGCTTGGCAAAATGTCATATTATTATTAAATGATAAAACAAATATTTTTAAAAATTATAAATATTAAAATTAATAAAATTATTTTTTTAAAATTAAAACTATTAAAATTTAAAATATATTTAAGGCTTAAAAAAATGAAAGCCATCGTTTTTCTTATCTACCTTTTTTTTTTTTTTGCTATTGTTTCCCTTATCTACTTTACCAAAGTAACTGAAAATTGTAAAAACAAAAACAAAAGGACTTTGAACTATTTTCTTTTTATTTTGGATGGGACCCGTTTGTGGGGACTCCCATATCAGCTTTGGGCTTCACTTGTCTCTTGTCCTTACTGTAATTACTATTGAGGTTTTATTAAATTTAATTTTTAGGGTTAAGTTTAAAAGCAATTTTAATTTTTTATTTTATAAATTTTAAATTGTTAAATAAAAATATTCAATATATTTTATATTTTTAAACTAATAAATATCTTTTTTGGATAACATTTATTTTATAAAATAATACGATGATTATTAAAAATTAAGTAAGAAGATATAACAAAATATAATAAATAATTTTTAATAAAATTTTATTATTTTTTAATGCTTTAATAATATAAGAATAGTTAAGGTTTAAACAATGTTGTTGTTGTTATTATTATTATTATTTTCTTACCATTTGAATTCAAAGCGGTTGTGTTCCATTCTGTCATTTCTCTGGAAGCTTCTGCTTTTTGGGTCGGAACATTTTGTCTCACATGATATGGGTTAGCAGTTTAGGTGATCTATCATTCTCCGACATAGCAGAAAATTTTCAAAATAGAAATCTGTTTTACAGAGACTAGAAATCCAGGCTATCCAATAATAGTCCCCGAACAAAAATAATTTAACATTTTAAAATCTTTTATCGTTTTCTTAATAAAGTAATTATATGTAATCATTACACAAAACTCAAGGTGAAATACACGGTAAAAATTCAAAAAAGAAAAAAAATAAAAATAAAGTTCGCTGATACGGGCATGTGATTGATTACATGTGGTACATCTACAATTTGGACAAATTTGACCGATGGTTATGCCCTTTTCTCTGGTGTGAACCTAAGAGGTTCAGTTGATGTATCTTTATGGAAGCACTTAGTAGGACAAACAAAGTCGTAGATTCTTTTGTCTAAACAATTCACCGTATGATTAAGAATCAGTTTCTCGGACAAACATAGATGCTTTAAATATCGTTAAGATATAAAACGAATCTTCTAACACTGGCGAGGATGACCAATAATTTTGTTAAGATGACCAGCAGAGATGTTTGACCTTGTAGTGGGGAAGCGTCGTAAAATTTATCAAAATATTCCTGAAGGAGAAACGGTGGAATATCAACTCTTATAATTACTCAATGCTCAATGAGAACGATAGAATAAATCTAATTTCTTCGGAAGATGTTGAGTATTTATAAGCCACATTTGTGTACGTTTTAACGAAGCTGGCCATCATTAACTTTGCGAAATGTTGTCATTTAGTTCGCTTGTTTGACCGAGTCCAGTAACGTCCTATATGATTCATGTAGTTGACCTTGTTCAGTGGGATAAGGCTTTGTTGTTTATTTGTTGTGTGAAATGTGAGTACGTGGGAGAAAATGTAGTTTCTCTTAAATGGCACCCACCAATAAAGACATTCTTATGATAGAGCTTCACTTAAAAAAAATGGTATTTAGTCATTGACATATTTCCAGTTTTACTTTTATTTCTTCTGATGCTGCATTTTTGTATTGCTTTATTTGTCCTACATCAAAGAGAATATTCATGACATTTACCGCAAAATATTCATTTTGTTGTTGAGCTATATTGCTACTACATTCAACCATATCAAGTGCCAAAATCACACAATGTTTACTAATATATAATGGAATGTTTCAGGGGTTATGACATTTAATGGCCTCGAGAGTTGCATGCATGATAATCAATCTTATGAAGATGATAGCAGAACTAGTAGAGGAGATGGGTGTATAACTGATTCATTTAATGATGATGACTCTAGCTTTTCATCCAGTAAAGATGCTTTTGGATCATTTTCTTCAAAATGTTTGACTATGAAAAGAGATGAGCATGGATTGGAAGAGTGGGAACTCTCAGAAACTCCGCAACATTTTTATGTTAAAGAGAAGTCTGCGTATGACATACAATATTCAGATGTAGAAGCCATGAAAGAAAAGTTTGCAAAGCTGTTGCTAGGTGATGACGTTACAGGAGGAACTAAAGGCCTCAATACAGCTTTAGCGCTGTCTAATGCCATCACAAATCTAGCAGGTTAGCTCTAAGTGCATTCTTACACTATCTTTTGGTTTCTCTGATAATATTTATCACTGAAAAAAGAAATGCACTGTCTTATCAAAGCTTTTATGTTAAAAATGGTAAATAAAAACATTTAAATCCAATATTATATACAACCCCAGAATTCCATTTCCAAGAGAACATTTGACCTTGCTTATTTGTGCCCTTCCTCTGGTTAAAAATGCAGTGACAGTTTTTGGTGAGTTGTGGAAATTGGAACCGCTATCTGAAGAAAGGAAGAGCAAATGGCGACGAGAAATGGACTGGTTACTGTCTCCTACCAACTATATGGTTGAGTTAGTTCCTGCAAAGCAAAACGGTGCAAATGGTGGGATATTTGAGGTATCTTCTATTTGAACTGGAAAGTAAAGGGAAGAATAATTTTATATATAACACATTGCAGTAAAATAAGTTAGCAATTATCTTTGAACAGATAATGACCCCAAAAGCTCGTAGAGACGTCCAAATGAATCTTCCAGCACTTGAGAAGTTGGACACTATGCTTATTGTAGGTCATCTCTTCATTCTCATTAAAGATCATGAAACGTTCAGTTACTTGTTAGACTGTTACATTACATCTTTTTGGTGTTTTGGCTGACAGGAAACACTAGACTCAATGGTGCATACTGAGTTTTGGTATGCAGAGGAAGGAAGCCGGTCAGAGAGGAGGAACATAAGTGGAAGACAAAGCAAAAGATGGTGGCTTCCTTCGCCACAAGTACCAAGAACCGGGCTTTCTGACACTGAAAGGAAGAGGCTGCTTCATCAGGGAAGGGTAGTACATCAAGTATTCAAGGCTGCCAGATCTATCAATGATACTATGTTGCTTGAAATGCCCGTGCCAATAATAATTAAGGACGCACTTCTGAAGGTAATAAACTTTGCAGGTTTGAATTTATATGCTTTTAGCCTCAAGCAAACTGCTCTCCCCTAGTGATGGTTACGTACCAAGAAGATAGCAACAAAATGGGTTAATTTGTGTTGCGAGTAGAATGGGATTTAAGGTGTGAAGAAATTCTTATGTAGTTTAAGGAATATTATTGGTCCTTATGCACATGAAAACTGCATATTGAGATATCCAACATCATGATGATTTTTCTTTTGCTATGGTCAAGATATATAACAATCATAATTCTTGTAGTTTTTTGTGTATTGTAAAGATAATTGGATCATTATCTAAATCTGTTTCTCTGTTTCAGTCTGGAAAGACAAGCCTTGGAGAGGAACTACACAAGGTCTTAATGGCTGAATCGAGTTCTGGAGAAGAAATGCTTGAAGCTCTCAATTTGAAATCTGAACATAGTGCCCTAGAGATTATTAATAGATTGGAAGCTGCTACATTTTCATGGAAAGAGAGAATTGTGCAAGAAAATAGTAACAAATCCCCTGTTCGAACCTCATGGTCTTTCATGAAGGACCCTATGTCAGGCATGGATAAGATGGAACTATGTTTGGACCGTGCAGACACACTTATAAAGCTACTTAAAACCAGATATCCAAACCTTCCTCAAACATTTCTAGATGCTGCGAAGGTTCAATATGGCAAGGTGAGTGGGATAAGTTTTCTACTTTTGTTTTATCTAATTCATATACACCATTGTTAATGTTTCCTTTTTTCCCCTACAAAACGAAAATTCCCATGTTAAATTAAATTATGTCACATGAAAAATACATTAGATAAAAAGAGAAGAAAAGGACAGATCTAAGTTTTCGATGACCAACAGTTTCTTCTTATTCAAGGTGTGAAATTTCTGGCAAACCTTTAGTAGTAATATATTAATTTCTTTCCATCTACTTACGTAGGATATTGGGCACTCCATTTTGGAAGCATACTCCAGAGTTCTTGGAAGTTTAGCCTTCAGCATACTGTCTAGAATAGGAGATATATTGCAGGAGGATGCTTTAAGCAATCCCAACTCACCTATTTCAACAAGTTGCTCTCCTGGGATAAATCTTTCTGAAGCTTGGGTGGCTGGTTCACATATTAGGCACTCATTAATTGATAAGATGAACAAGGCAGATGAAAACCATTGTGATTCTAGTTGTTTAAGTACTTCTGATATGGAACTCTCATCGACTGAGGCCAAATCTAGCTCTGTAATTGCCACCCCAAGCCGTGGTCGCTTGTGGTGCATTGGTAGAGAGGCATGTAAAAGTGCGTCTCCTCAAAATTCCCCATAGTGGCTTTGAGTAGCTGGCTCAATGTAAATGTTAATTGTTGTTATTACCATGTGAGCGGTATGAACAGAAGCAAATTGACAGGTTTACCTTCTCATAAATTTTGGGTGTTTTTGTTACCTGGGAATTTTATGTTGAGCTTCAACAAGTGTAATACTGGTGTAAATTAAAATTTTAAAGAAAATAAACGATGATCATTTTTATTTAATAAAATTAGATATTATAGGACAATAGTATTAAGCATAAAAAAGAATTTCAATATGTAACGTGAAAAATCTTCAAATACTAAAAGAAAATTATAGGACAAATTTCAAAAAATATTCTATTGTATCAAGAAATAATTATAATATATTCTTTCCACTCTCTTCATACAAGGGATATAAATATAGTGTTTCTCGTTGAGACTCATGATAAACCCTGCAAATTTTGCAATACTAAGAAGTTATGGAGATCATATCCAACCCAATGTATTTTTCTCTCACCAAATATGCACTCACATTTGTTTATTTATTTTCTCTCCAAGAAACTTTCACCTATATCTTTTTCTCCGAAAGTGATCCATTGCTGGCTTGTGTGTGCGCGAAAGACTTGCAGCCCTTTGTATGCTTTTACAGGAGATGAAATTTTCAACCATCACATTTAATGCTCTGTGGAAACATATCACTTGATCATTTGTTTGTAATCCATAGAATCAACTTGTCACAAAATTGAAACTTTTGACGAACTACAATTTTTGTTACATTGAAAGATTTTATTAATGTGAATTTGTTTTACCTAAATTATTAATTTTTCATTGCATGATGTAATCAATGATATTTAATATTAGCATGCTTTAAACGAGAGTGATACATAAAAAAATATTTACTTAAATTCAAAGTGCTTTGATCATTGCAATGGATATCATTGTAACTTTTCTATTTCATTTGTAGGTATAGAAAAATCTATTCAACTAAAGTTTTTTTTGTTTTTGTTTGGGGTTATGGCAATATGTTCTACCCAATAGTTAATAAGCAACACATTTTTGCAATTTAGATTGCCAAGTTATATCTCTTTTTATAAGAATAAATAGAAAGGTTGAAGTAAATTTTTTTACTATTTAAGTCATTTTAATATGTGCATGTGCATAACTTTTCAAAATTACTTTTGGTCCTCTTAAGCTTTAAGTATAAATTAAAGTTACCTTTGATATACTCAATATCACTTTATTGCTTTCTAACTAACCGTATGAGTAATATTTATCCAAATACAAATAGTTACATACATCAAACTCTAAACTGGTAAGAAGTAAGGTATAATAATCACAACTTCCTTTTCTTCTTGATTGGTAAAGTGATTGGCCAACAATGTGATGATTGACTTATAATCATTCATATTAAATCTTTCTAGAACTTGATTCACATTGTGACAACATATCTTTGTAATTTTTCAGTCTTAGCACAATTTTATGCCCAAAATTTGTTTCGTAGTATCTAGCTTTTTAAGATCAAAGGAGGTTGACAAGTCCTTCTCAAATCATCAATTATCTTTCTTTCTTCTCCCATTATCAACATATCATCTACATATAATAGAAGGATGACAAATTTAATACTTGAAAATGTTTCATTGGATACATAAATATCTACATTAATATTGATATATACATAACTCATCATAAAGCAATCAAGTTTTTTATACCATTATATTGTAACTTCTTTCAATCCATACAAACTCTTCTTCCATCTATAAACAATGTGCTCTTTTTTAGGCTTCTCAAATCCTTCTAGTTGTATTACATAAATCTCTTAATCTAAATCTCTACGAAGAAACATAATTTTAACATTTAGTTATTCACACTACAAATAAGCCCTGATTTGAGTATAATTCAAATAGAACTCATTACAGCCGAAGAAAAAGATTTCATTAAAATATATTCCTTTCTTTTGTTTAAATTTTTTTACAACTAACAAGCTTTATACTTCAATAGGTTGTTAATCAAACTCTCACTTATTTTTTAAAGCTTTCCTACCTCTAAAAAGTTTCACAAATATCAATTTTTCTACGAGGAATCTATCTCTTATTGCATTACTTTCATTTGACAAACTTTATCTTTATGAATTTCAACTTCTTTAAAACTTTTTGGATCCTGATAAGTATGTAATTAAGCCCTCTTTTACAACCCATATGTTCATATTTGACCTTTATTTTATTTGAGTTTTACACTAATTTATATATTAATTGTGCAGTTTGGTATAAAGAGGTCGCAAGTGGATTTTAGATGCATTCTGGGCTCAAATTGATGGAAGATTAGAGCTTCGCAATAGTCAGCATGCCCAAACCCATTCAATAAGCACAGGGGTGCTTCGAGCCCATGCACGGTCATACTTAAGGCCTTGCACAACCGTGCTCATCTGCGGGAAGCTCAAATTATGAAGAATTTTTAGAGTTTTCAAATCCTATAAAAGGGAAGATCTCAAGCATCGTAAAGGACTGTTTTTATCTTGGCTATGGCTCTAAAGTACATCTGATCTCGTCTCTTTTGCACGGGATCCTTGGCACATGCTTGGTGAGACTTGGAGCTTCAAGCGATCATACTTGAGACCGAGAACACATCTCATACTCTAGTTTATTATTTCCTTTGATTATGACTTTGTTTATGATTGTTTTAATTCTTTTCTTTAGCATGAGTAATTAAGTCCATAGCTAAGGCTATGGGAACTATTGTTCATGAATTTATGAAATTTTGATTTTTGAATCTAAATTTGATTTCCATTTTGTGATTAGATTTTATCCTATTGCACTTCTTTCTTAATCCTAATTAATTATAGCGTCAGACGACTGTACCTCGGTTAATTAATAGATCTATATGATAAAACAAGACAAAGGATTAGGTGGACCAAACTAATCTTTCTCTTCTAATCGTTATTAAATTAACAAGTTCATATGTTCCTTAAGCTTTCTTAAATTGATGTCATACATGATAATTGGGGATGTTAATTTAGAGAAAAGAATATTGATATTGCATGACCATTGGGTATTAATAGTATTCATATGAATGATTGGTAATCACAAGGAAATCAGATTTAGAGTTAAACAGAAAAATAACATAAAGGATTGAATGAAAAAACCCATATGCCCTAGGTTCCTCTCCAATAAGTTTAACCAAGACGTGCATTGTATTCCTTGCTCTTAGTTTTATAATTGATTTTATAAATTCTTGTTTTTAATTAATCTCGTATCTTTGAAGCTTAAACAATTGAATTAAGAAATTCTTAGTAATTGAAAATTAATCCTTATGGGACAATATTTCAGGAACTTAATTTAAGAACCATTTATTATTTCTCGATAGGTACACTTGCCCTCCAAAAAGATCCCTATTATTATTAATGAGGATAACTAGATAACTATGATACTTGCTAGATGTGTGATACTTGCTAGATGTGTGACGCTCTCTAATTTCTCTCTTGACTTAAGGTGAAGAAGGTTGCACATCTTGCTCGAGTTCATCATCAACATCTTTCATTGTTAGCTCATGGTCAACTCTAAGTTTTTTAATCAAACTCTCCGCTTTGTATGACATTTCTTCTAGAAATGATTGGTGTAAAATCAAACTTACCACCTAGTTCAATGATTTTTTGTATAGTATAAATTGTTTCTTGCTTATGAAACATAACATATAAATCTACTTCTCACACTTTTTCTCTTTCCTATATCTCATAATCTATGGTCAAAGTCCTTATCTTCGCAGCTTAAAAATATATAAGAAATGTTTCTATCATCTTTATTTCTTACTTACATGAGCAAAAGTTTTGCATTTAAAAACCTTTAAATAAGAGTAATTAATATCGTGTTCAAACCATACTCTCTTAGAAATGTAAAGCTAAAAGGAATAGATGAAGATTAAAATAGATCACCTGAAGTGAATTCCAATTAGTTGAATAGGCTTTAAAACATCAATAATAAAGCTGATAAAGCTTTTTTAGTATTTGATGTCACAACTAAGATGACAATTGAGTCATTGTAAATAGAGTTAGATGATGTTGTTTGAGATAATATTCCTAATATTTCTCTAAAATGTCACTTTAGAACAATCTCAACACTTCCTCCTCATACTAATGCTATAATAATAATAATTTTTTCTTAGTGATTGTTGATTTGTCCTATGAGTAGGCATAGGTTGATGGTCTTTTTTATACCTTTGAGAAAGTTGTAATTATTAAAGGAAGACTTCATCATGCTCCCTCCTAATATGATGCTTTTTTCTTTTGTTCTTTTACATTGTTTACATATTTTCTTAATTGTTAACTCACAATGCTTACTCTTGTCTTTTCGTACTTGATTTCTTAATTGCCTTAATATATTGTATATTTTGACGTTTTTTAATTTAAGGTAATTTCTTAAAATACTCTTATTTAACAAGACTTATAATATAAGATAGATTATCATTAATTAAGATGAATGGATTATAACATTTCTTGATGATGTAATCAAGCTCAATGAACAGCTTAAATTTTGGTCTATTACCTTAGAACTACCAATTAATAATGATTGCAAAAAAAAAAAAAGTATTGTTATACATAAAAAATTGTTCATACTATTGCAATAGTTAGTTGTTAGATTAATCATTAATATATACTTAGAAAGTAATAAAATAACATTGATATATACTTTTGAATTATTATTTCAATTAGATACAAGGTTGTATTATTAATTAAATATATTATGTATTTTAAACTTATTAATATAATTTTTTTTATAAAAATAAATCATTAATGTATACATTTGAGTTTATAGTAATAATACAATATATTATGCTAATAAATAATTATTTATAGAAGTATTAATATATAGTATATAAATACATTAAATGTTAGTATGATATTTATTTGTTAGTACAAACTTTCAAGTCTATTATACTAATATTTTTTGGATAGAAAAAAAATTGTACTAACAACGCTAACGTATTTAAATAAATAATAATAAATTTAAGCTTATATATTTATTTTATTTGAAGGCTTAAGTTTTTCTATTTATATGTAAGTTTAGATTCACCAACTTATATAAAAGTAAAATTTTTAATCTACATAAAAGATTTTATTTATAAAGTAGACTTTTAAATAGGTTTGTAAGAGAAGTTAGGGCTTTAAAATGAGACATGTCAAATAATAGGTCAAGTTTGAAATATGAATCAATTATTCAAATTGAGTGGCACCACCTTAGTTTTGAATA